TGGGAGTGGGGGTAAATAAAAAGGACGGAAGAAGGGGCGAAGGGGAGATATGGAACGGGGAAAAGGTAAGAGAGGGAGGAGGGGGGGGAGTAGAGGAGATAGGCGGAGAAAGGAAGATGAGGAAAGAGACAAAAGAGGAAGTGGAGGTATGCAGAGGAGATAGAAGGAGAAAGGAAGGGCAAGGAAGAGGGCAGGAAGAGAGAACGAAGACAGGGAGTGGAGAAGTACACGGAATGGAAAGAGATGGTTAGAGATAATAAAAGGAAAATAGAGGGGGAGAGGAAACAGATAAAGAAGGGGGAAGAGGAGAGAGAAGAATGGTGGCGGGAAGTAGAGGGAATAGAAATTGAAAGGAATTGCAGAAGAAGAAGATAAGTGAGAGAAAACTGGGAGAAAAAAGATGAAAGGAAGGAATGAAAAAAAAAAGAGAGAGAGAAGAAAAACAGAGAGCAAGGGAGGATGAAAAGGGCAGAGTAACAAGAGACTGAGAGAGAATAGACGAGGAAAGGGGAAAGGAGAAATTAATGGAAAGGAAGGAGAGAGAGAGAGGAGAGAGAGGCGACAGATCAAGGAAAAGAAAAGCGAAAGAGGGGAAGGCAGAGGGTGAAGAAGATTAAGAAGAACAAGGAAAATAAATAAAAAAAGACAAGAAACAAGGAAAAGAAGGGAGAGAGAAAGAGAATGAGAGACAAAATGGATAAGAGGAAAAAGCCACATATAGCGGCCCTGGCTAACGAACACTCAACACGTTTCGACAAAGAATACTCCCCACCAACACCCCCCACCCCCTCCCCCCCCCACCCTCAATCCCATAACCTAGCGCAGATCAGTGAAGCAAACATCTAATCCATCATAAAGGCGACAGTTCCAGTTCCGGCTCAGTAATCATGTACATATTTATATATTCAGGGCGAGCGAGACCCTATATGTGTGTATGGCTTTATACATATACGTGTCTGTGTGTGTCTGTGTGTGTGTGTCTGTGTGAGTGGATGTTTGTGAGTGTGTGTGTGTGTGTATGTATGTATGTGTACATGTATATATATATATATATATATATATATATATATATATATATATATATATATATATATATATATATATATATATCTGTGTGTGTGTGTGTGTGTGTGTATGTGTGTGTGTGTGTGTGTCTATGTATATATGTGTATATATTTATATATATATATATATATATACATATATATATATATATATATATATATATATATATATATATAGAGAGAGAGAGAGAGAGAGAGAGAGAGAGAGAGAGAGAGAGAGAGACAGAAACAGAGACAGAGACAAATAGAGAAGAGAGAGAGAGAATGGGAGAATATGTGTTTGTTTCTGTGTATGTATGCTTGTATATCTGCATATTTGTGTATCGTACCTACATGTCGATGTACCTGCATCTGCCAATCCATATACTTATATACCTCTATGTCACTTCCCCTATCCTCTTTCCCCTTCCCTCTCTCCCTTCCCTCTCCTTTTTTCTTCTCCCTCTCTTCCCCTTACCTTTCCCTTCCCCTTTCCCTTCCCTCGCCTCCCCTTACCTTTCCCTTTTCCTTTCCTTCTCCCTCGCCCCCCCCTTACCTTTCCCTTTCCCTTTCCTTCTCCTTTGCTTACCCTTACATTGCTCTTTTCCCTCTCCCTCGCTTCCCCTTTCCTTCTCCCTCGCCCCTCCCCCTCCTCCCTTACCTTTCCCTCACTCCTCTGTCGCTTTGTGTCTCGACTCCAGCACCTGGTCTGATTTCTCACGATCCTCTGACACGGAACTGCTGTGAGAAATGCACTGAACTGGAGTCGCAATACAACATAGCCACAGAGCATAGTAAGTGGTCCTCTGCTGTCGGGAGAGCCTTGTGGTTTCAGACGACTGTGTGGGTTTGTCTGAGAGAGAGGGAGGAAGGGAAAGAGATGGGGAGATAAAGAGAGAGGAAGGGAGAGAAAGAGAGAGGGAGGAAGAGGAGAGAAAGAATGGGAGGGATGGGGGGAGAGAGAGCTAGGGAGGGAGATATATAGGCAAATTGAGGAATAGAGAGAGAAAGAGAGAGAGAGAGAGAGAGAGAGAGAGAGAGAGAGAGAGAGAGAGAGAGAGAGAGAGAGAGAGAGAGAGAGAGAGAGACAGGCAGACAGACAGACAGACAGACAGACAGAGGGAGAAAGAGACAGACAGACAGACGTGGAAGTGAAACAAAAGCGGAGGAAAGGAGAGAATAAGAAAGAGAGGAGAAAGAGAAAGAAGAAAACCGAGAGACAGAGTCATGTATACAGAGAAAAATAAGCAAAGGAGTGTCTGTATGTCTATATTTGCAAAGGATTAGCTATACTTTTCTTCATAATGTAAGTTAATGTCGCATTTTCAACCTTAATCAGAGAAAAAAACATTTTTTAAAACTTAATAAGCATTATTATTGTCGTCATAATTAAAAGTTTTTTCTTCTTTTTTGCAGTATGAATAGTGTACAAAAATGATCAGAATCATGAAAAATGATCCTCAAATATCATTATATGATATGATTATGAATAAGGATATACATGCGTGTGTGTTGTGTATGCATGTGTCTCATGTGCGTACGTGTGCTGTGTTTGTATGTCTGTGTGTGTTTCTGTGTGTGCATTTTTTTTTCTTTAACGTGTGCGTTTCTGTGTTTTTTCTTTTTATGTGTGTGTGTTTGTGTGTATGTGTTTGAGTCTGAGTGTGTGTTTGTGTATGTGTGTATGTGTGTGTGTGTGTGTTAGTGTGTGTGTGCGCGCGCGTTCTATTTCAAAAGCACTGTCTATTGATTGAAGCCAACCGACTTTTTTTTTCCTTTTTTTTCTTTTTTTTTTTTGCTTGAAGCCAAAACAACAGTTGATTGGAAGAGCGATACCTGACAACTAAACAAAACCTAGAAAATAGACAATAATCGTTACCCTTTCTAAGCCAGGCCAAGAAGGTAATAAAAGTAATAAGGAAATATAATGGAAAAAATATAACATTAAGAAAAACTGTTTGGGGATTTTTAAGATACAGTGATCAGTGGGGGATGTATGTTGATAAATAATAAAGAGTCCCTTTAGCGTTAATGATAAACCTTACTCCTGTTTACCGTGGTTTGTGGATTTATACAATGTCTCTCATCGATCAATAGAAACCTTGAACAACCTTTGATTTCGTTCAGAAGAAAATTCATAGTGACTCGACTCTCCCTAATTTTATAATGTATCGACCTGACGATAGATATATAAAATACAGGCGCACGCAAAAACACCACGCGCAAATACACACACACACACACACACACACACACACACACACACACACACACACACACACACACACACACACACACACACACACACGAGCGGCCGATCCTATCAAATAACGCCAATACACAGAATCGCGTGTATCGCCTCCCTCGCGGTACAAGTGACAAGTCCCATTACAGCGAGAGAGGGACATGTGAATCTCCAGCAGCATCAAGGGGGACCTCACTGATGCTGGCCGTCACGGGAGATGAGCTCCCTTCCCCCACTTCCCCCCTCCCCCCCTTCCCCCCTTCCCCCTTCCCCCCCTTCCCCCTACCCCCTTCCTTCGTCATATGATGCCAGGGGAATTAGTATTGACATTGCTGTTGGTCTTAGTATGTTGTTTGTTCTTATATGTTGTTTATTTATATAGTTATTTGTATTTTTTTTTCTTTGGAGGGGGAGATGGGGGGAAAATACGCGTGAATAGTAATTTGCATAACTTACGTAACGTGTGTGTATGTGAATGTATTTGTCGATGTGAATAGGATTGCTGCTGCAATGTGCATGATTTGTAATAATCTGCGAGATTAATCCTTTTCATTCCAACCTGACTGGAAATATGAAATGTGTTTTTTTTTCATAATTAATATTATTTAGCTACTGCGCATACGATTAGTAAAAACATCAAAGTTCACAAACTCTGATGGGGAATAAGAACAGTAAATACATATAAGGGATTCTTATAAATCATGCAAATAGTCGGAACACAAATTTGCGTGAAAAGAACCTGACAAATATATATATATATACGTTTGTTAAAATTTCCTCAAACTAGCGACAAACGCTGGATTTAATACCGGGATTATACTTAATGCTGTCGCTGTTACTCTCTGTTTTGTTTTGTTTTGTTTTGTTTTGTTTTGCTTTGTTTTTGTTGTATTTCATTATTACATTGCATTTTCTATTTGTTGTTGCGGTGTTGAATTTGCTGTCCCTTATTTATTTCCTTACATTGAATACTGCGTTTCATCATTTCGCTGTATTGCTGTTTACTATTTGTTGCAATATTCCACATTGTTATCATCACTGACGTTGTTTGTTCAACCCTCTATCTAACGGCTTTCTCTCCTATGTTTGTTATCTATTCATCCTCTTCATCGTACCTTCTGCGTTATCATTATCTTTTTTGCTATTCATCTATCCTTTTATTCTCTCCTTCTACAATCTTATCTTTATCATTTTTGCCTTTAATTCCCCCTTTTATTCAACGACGGCTTTTCTTCTTCACTGTTATCATTATCCTTTCTCTCTTTCTGCATCATCATTATTATATATGTTATTCATCCACCCTTTTATTCAACAACGTACCTTTCTCAACCTTCTATAATTTTACATTTGTTACTCATTCACCTTCTTCGTCTCTCTCCTTGTACATTGTTATCATTACTATGCCTTTTCTTCATTCATTCAACAACAGCCCCTCTACATATTTACCTGTGTTATTCATCCACCCTTTTCTTCAACCACGGCCCTTCTCTCTCCTTCCCCGGCAAGTCCTGACTGCGGGTGGATCTCTTTCTCTCTCTCTCTCTCTCTCTCTCTCTCTCTCTCTCTCTCTCTCTCTCTCTCTCTCTCTCTCTCTCTCTCTCTCTCTCTCTCTCTCTCTCTCTCTCTCTCTCTCTCTCTCTCTCCATATTATCACGTTTACCATTCGTTATTCAACCCCCCCTTTATTCAACCCGTTCTCTCCCCTTCTTCAGGTCCTGGCGGCGGATGGATCGGCAACCGCAAGAGAGGAATTGAAGGCCAGTCCCTCGTGCACGGGGGGATGGGGGGAGATTCCTGCGTCCCTGCGGATACGTGGAACACATATGGAGGGTTTGGGGGAGGCGGTGGAGGATGCATTGCCGGAGGAGGCGGTGGGGGATATACAGGTAGGTGGTTTTGAATGATTTCGTATCGTTATTATTATTTTAATAGGGCTGGGTCTGGTGATGTTATCCAGGAAGGTATACAATGCAGTGGTTTCTTAATAATGTTAATGAGTAGTGGTGGTGTTTTTGTTGTTGTTGTTGGAGGAGGGAGGAACTCCTTCTCTGGTGTGAAAGAGAGGATGTGTTTGTACAGTAAGTAGATATACTGTACAGATAGAGGAAAATGCAAAGGAGGATGGGCTGATTGTCTGACGTAGTTTAAACGGTTTCCCAGTATGTTATACAGTAGGATATATAGAGTGTTGGAATATACACAGATAGGACGTTACACTGTTAGGTAGGATTTGCAGAGTCAGGATATTTCCATAGAGTAGAATGTATAGAGAAAGGATATAGTTTTGCTGTGGATATACATCAAGATATTCATTTTCCTTAACAGAGATTAGGTTATAATGTAAAGGTATTTAAAGAGGATATGGTATACACTCCTTATACAGAAACAGGATATTATACAGAAGAATGTATAACAAAGGAGATTGTGTTTGGGTAATTTATGTGCGCGCGTGTGATTGTGTGTGTGTGAGTATGTCTGTGTGTAGATTTATGCGTGTGCATGCTTTGTTTGCGTATATCTGTATTGCGCACATGTGTCTTTATATGTGCGCATTTTATCATATTTCCTTTATATGTGAATATTAGTATACCTTCGTATACACCTGAGTGAATATCTGTTAGATACATCTATACCTCCATATAGTGTACGTGTGTGTATGTAAATCAGCTGATATGTACTGTATACCTGACCGTCTGTGTGCGTATTCCTTCCCTGCAGAGGAATTTTCCATAAGATTCCTGAAGCGGAGACGCGTTGGGGTCCTGCAACTTTAGGAAACTTTTTTTTTTCTTACTCTTTTTTATTCCTTTTTTTCTCTCTTTTTCTCTCTTTTTTTTAACTAGACAAACGTTACCTCAGAGCCAAGCCCCCTTAATGAATGTAAAGCAGGAGTTTTGTATTACTTTTCCTTATGGATTCATCTGAAAGAAATGCGTGTTATTTTCTCTCTTTATTTATTCATTTCCTGTTTTTCCTTTCTTTCTTTCTTTCTGTTTTTCTTTTTCTTTTTTTCTTTTCCTTTTTTTAGTCTTTCTGTTTTCCTTTCTTTCTTTCCTGTTTTTCCTTCTTTCTGTTTTTCTTTCCTTTGTTCTTTCTGTTTTTGTTATTTCCTTTCTTGTTTTTCTTTCTTTCTTTCTTTCCTGTTTTTCTTTCTTTCTTTCTTTCCTGTTTTTCTTTCTTTCTTTCTGTTTCTCTTTCTTTCCGTTTTTCTTTCTTTCTGTTTTTCTTTCTTTCTTTCCTTTTTTCTTTCTTTCTTTCATTCTGTTTTTCTTTCTTTCTGTTTTTCTTTCTTTCTGTTTTTCTTTCTTTTGGCTCCGATTGGTTCTCCCTGTTTCTGTGTATCAGTTTCGTTCTTTCTCTCTCTCTCTATCTCTTTACTTCTTTCTCTCTTTTTCATTGTTCTCTCTCTCATTTTCATTCTCTCTCTCTTCTCACTCTCTTTCTTTCTCTCTCTTTATTTATCTCTCTTTATCTTTATCTATCTATCTGTCTATATACCTACCTATCTGTCTATCTATCTATCTTTCTCTGCTTCTCTCTCTCTCTCTCTCTCTCTCTCTCTCTCTCTCTCTCTCTCTCTCTCTCTCTCTCTCTCTCTCTCTCTCTCTCTCTCTCTCTCTCTCTCTCTCTCTCTCTCTCTCTCTCTCTCTCTCTGGATGCTTTTTCCACCGTCCTCTCACTCTTCCCTTCCCCCCTGCCATCCCCTTCCCTTCCCCCCCCTCCTTCTCCCTCTTCCTCTCCCTTTTTTCGGTTTTCGTTTATAGATGAAAAAATAGAACAAAAGCGACGCAGAAAACGATAGTCTTCTGTCAAACGGAATATGTTAAAAGGTGTTCGATTCGCCTGCCTGTGGATCCAACTCGACCTGCAAGGGATGCCGTGCTCATATATTATCGCTGAGTTCTGGCATTTATAATTTCCGTGCGGGTAAATACTGCTTGGGTTTAGTCTTGTTTCGCGTGTATGTTACTGTTACGTTTTTTTTCGCGCTTGTTTGTTTGTTGTTTTTTGGTTGAATTCGTGTTTACGTCTGGATTTTTTTTTATTCATTCATATACTAATGTGGGGGGAAATTAGAGAGTCAGTCCAATGCATAATGATATTAATAAATAAATCATTGAAATGAAAATAAATAGTTATAATGGCAGCAATATTCACAAACGAATGGTTTGATAAATTGTATATTTTGATACAGAATAATCACAACCATACCAATAACGATAAAAGTGATCATGAGAAGAACACTATTACATAACGAATACAAAATAACAAATAATAATACACTGTAATAATGATAATGTTGATGGTAACTGTCATTATACGTACCGGATAGATAATAACATGGTAATGAAAATAACATTAATAATACATGTTTGTGCATGATACAAAATTACATAAAAATAAAAAGATATACTACGAGTTCAAGGATCCTTTCATTCATAAAAGTGTCTTTGATGGGTCAGAGAATGAATGAGAATGAATGACCGACCCCGCTATAAGGAACCTTTCTACCTCACGTGCAAGAAAACGGAAGATAAAAGTAAGGTCAGTGAAGAGTAGCTGATAAAAGAGAGAAAAGGAGAAAGGGATGAGAGTCACTGAATGAGATACAGAGAGGGGAGAGGGGAAGAGAGATACATAGTCAGACAGACAGACAAACAGAGTGAGAGACAAACAGACAGACAGGCAGAGATAGAGTCAGATTGAGAGGAAGAGAGTGACAAACAGGCAGATAGACAGAGACAGATAGATACATTTTTTTTTATTAAAGTCCCACGATACAAGCTATATATATAAACATGTATATAGCATTAGTATCCACTCCTTCAGGACATACACAGAGTCATTAAAATTTACATAATTAGCATATGCAATGATAACAAAAACCACTATATTAGAAATAACCTTTACATTTCCAAGAAAAAAAATCTGATTTTTACCAGAAATGAAGCGTATTTGGTCATTTCATTTCTCAAGTCTGTAGATAGCAGATAGTCAAACAGAAAATGAGTCTTATTTTCAATTTCCCAATGTTCCCACAGAGAGAGATAGAGGGACAGAAAGGGGTAGATAGACAGAAAGACAGAGGGACAGAGAGATAGAGAAACAGTAAGTGAGAAAGATTGATAGACATACAGACAAAAACGGAGAGAAAGAGCACGTGGGGAGGGGGGAAAGAGGGAGGGAGAGAGAGAGAGAGAGAGAGAGAGAGAGAGAGAGAGAGAGAGAGAGAGAGAGAGAGAGAGAGAGAGAGAGAGAGAAAGAGAAACAGAGGCAGACAGACAGAGAGAGAGAAAGAAAGAGAAACAGAGGCAGACAGACAGACAGATAGGCAGACAGAGAAAAAGAAAGACCGACAAACAGAGATAGGACAAGAGAAAAAAGACGAAAAAAAAACTAAAGGGAGAAAGAATCGTCACAAGAAAAGGCTGAGTGATAAAAGGGGAAAGATGAGCGAAGAGAAAAGGAAAAGAGCGATCACCTCTTATGAAAAAGGTCTCGTCACTTTGTTCGTTCAGAAGGTCTAGGGCTAATGATAACTTTTCTTCGGGCCAATACAGCAACGTTGAATTGGGTTCGTAAAGAGGCTTGTGTCAAATTCCTTCTCTTTCATCTTTTATTTGTGCTGTCCTTGTTGTTTTTATTATTATTCTGTTTTATTGTGTTTTTTTCTCCCTTTTTGTATATGTTTGTTCTTTGTTTATTATGTGTGTGTTATTCTTCTTTATTTCTCTCTCTCTTTCGGTTTTTTTTTCTCCCTCTTTTTTCTCATCCTCTTCCTCTTCCTCCTCCTCTTCCTCCTCCTTTTCCCCTCCCCCTTTCCTTTCTCTTCCTTCTCATTATCCTCCTTGCCTTCTCTTATATTTGTATATTATGTTTTTGTATAAATCTGTTAGTGTGTACGCGTATTTTGTTTGTCTTTTGTTTATGTACGTATCTTTGGTTGTTTGTGTGCGTGGGAGTCTCAGCATGTGAGGCTTAAACGTCACTCTATTTCGTGACTTCGACTGACATCTGTATCAAGCAGTGCCCACTCGGTCACTGATATTTAATCCTAAAGCATTGAAACTTTTGCTGTATTTTTGTTTTCGATCAAGTATCGTTCTATCCCTTTTTTTTCTTTTTTTTCTTTTTTTCTTTTTTTTAGGGGGGGAGGGGGGCTTTCCGCACGATTTTTTGAGCCGTGGATAGTGAACGATTCTCGAATTGAGCTGTCCAGGTTTTGCGCCTCCCGGATGCTGGCTCATATGGACATGGGTTACATTTTTTTCTTTCTTTCTTTCTTTTTTGCCAGGCGCTAGGGCGGCCAGAAAACAACCACACGCATATGTATACATAGGCATACACATTCATATACAGACAGACACACACACACACACTCATATATATATATATATATATATATATATATATATATATATATATATATATATATATATATATATATATATATATTTATATTTGTGTGTGTGTGTGTGTGTGCGTGTGTTTATGTGTGTGTACGTGTGTTTATGTGTGTGTGCGTGTGTTTATGTGTGTGTGTGTGTGTGTGTGTGCGTGTGTGTATGTGTGTGTGTGTGTGTGTGTGTGTGTGTGTGTGTGTGTGTGTGTGTGTGTGTGTGTGTGTGTATGTATGTGTGTGTATATATATATATATATATATATATATATATATATATATATATATATATATATATATATATGTATGTATGTATGTATATATATATATGTATATGTTTGTGTAATAAATATATATATATATATATATATACATACGTGCACACATACATACATACACAAACACACACACACACACACACACACACACACACACACACACACACACACACACACATATATATATATATATATATATATATATATA